GTCAATAGAAGATTATGAATCTGAATCTGTTTGTTCTTCCACAAAATTACTTTCCTGCTTCATTTACTTAATGTTATTTATATTGTTTTATTCTGTTGTTATCAACAACTTTAAGAATTTTTGATCTATTGCAATACTGATTAACATTTTTTGTTATTGATTAGTGACGATCTCCAAAAGCTGCCGCCAGGGAAACGTGATCCACCAATGAATGATGAAACAGCAAAAGTAATGTAGGTACTAGTTTAATTTTATATTGACTGTAATACTCTTTTGTTTAGTGATGTCAATAGAAGATTATGAATCTGAATCTGTTTGTTCTTCCACAAAATTACTTTCCTGCTTCATTTACTTAATGTTATTTATATTGTTTTATTCTGTTGTTATCAACAACTTTAAGAATTTTTGATCTATTGCAATACTGTATCAATGATTAACATTTTTTTGTTATTGATTAGTGACGGTCTCCAAAAGCTGCCGCCAGAGAAACGTGATCCACCAAAGAATGATGAAACAGCAAAAGAAATGTAGGTGCTAGTTTAGATATTGAGTAATCTTTTAAATTGAAAAAAAAGTCCAATATTTTCTCCATGTTTTATCAACTTCTTATAAGTTATTTCTTCTTCGGTAGTTCATTTCCATAGCATTGTATTTTCTATTTCATTTGACTATAATGTTACACTATTATTGTTATTATATTTATTATTAAGCAAATTTGAAAATACAGCATATACCAACATTACTAAATTATTTAATAGCAACACCATTTCTTTTCTATTTGTAGAGTACCACCAGAGTTGCCACAATCAAAACAGGATGCACCTAAAAAACTTGAGTAAGTTTGTTTATACCAAATCCAAACATGAAGGTATAAATATACCTTCGTTATCCGACCATTTTCAAATATTCTGTATACAAATTACAGTACTTAAATCATGATTTTAGTCGTTGTGGTCCGAAGGCAAATGGACCTTTCCCACTAAGCCACGCCCCTTGGACTGTTGCTAAGGTGCAAAAAAATCGACTGTGTAAAAACATGCTCAAACACGTGCGTTTGTGAGACAAGATGTGCGTGAGACACGCTCGTCTGTCTGGTCTTGTTCTGATTGGTCAATTGATAAGTTTGATTGACATTTCAGAAACGCCCATTTCCATTGGGGTTATTCTGGTCCATTGTCAGTACATCAGGAGACAATCTGTTATTTTTTCAAAAAGTGTAGGTCTACTTCTTTCTTTAACCTGAACATTGGTCATACTGCACATGGTACCAACAACTTTTAAGAGGCTCTTTAAAACCCTCTTCATTCCAGCATTCCAGCTCTCCGGCTAAGCCCACACAAGGAGGGCAACGATGGATTGGAACCGGGGATCGATCAAAATGATTTAAAGTGATCTCTATGGCTCTGCGCACGCACAGTGGCTATCACCATGACAGTGTTATAAATATAATGAAGCTGAATAAGTCCTGATGATAGATATATCAAAATGAATCGAGTTTTTTTGTTTGTTTTTGTTTTAATAGTTTTTCCGATGGGTTAAGGGTATTTAAAGGTCCAACGGAGGCATATCATGAAAGGTAGGAGTTTCACTCATAATAAAAATAAAAAATAATAATAATAATAAAAATATTAATAATGATGATAATAATAATAATAATAATAATAATAATAATAATAATAATAATAATAATAGAAATAACTTGCTACTGAATGCTTGAAATGCTTAATATTAAAATAAAATTAGCATATCAGACAGTACATAATATTCATATACATGTTAATACATTAATATTAATTTGTCTTTAATTAAGTCATACGTATAGTTGATACAGGGCTATGTAATTACCGATATGTTTGCTGTCTCTTATACACATCTAGATGTGTATAAGAGACAGGTTGAGCACTTAGTGCAAATTTTTGACTTTCCGCCATATTTCAAGATAAGAGACAGCATATACATATACATTGGTGGCGCCAATCGCAAATCAACTGGACTGAAGAAAGAAGCAACAACCAAGCCACAATAGTACTGACGATGCTAACTGGTAGTTAGTAGAGTTCCTATATAGAGAAAGTTGCGACATGAGCCGCTTATAGGACTCCATATTGGGGCCATTTATGCATGAATGAACACGAACGCCTATTCTACATTGTGGCGATTGTATAAATAACAGGCAATTGTAAAAAATTAATAAAAATTTTAAAAACAAAATTTCATGTCATTTGATAGTAAATATCTGTTAATTAATGCATATTTGAAGTTTATAGTAAAATTCAAGAAAAAATTTATTCTCAATAGTCTGTTATAGGGCCTAATTATTTATATTACATGTAGTTTTTGCTTGACCAGATTGGCGTAGCACCTTTAGCTAGGCGTACATGATTGCATTTGTTAAGCGTAGCGACTATGATTAGGCCTTACTTACACCCACTATAACAACTCCGTGCTTACACACAGGACAACTTTGAAGTTCGTATAATAAACGGGTGTTTGCGGCAAGCCTCTAGCTAGGATGCCAGTTTCATAATATCTCAAAAAACCTTGTAGTATAACAAGAGAAGTCCGTAAGTCATACGGTAACTGAAACACTACTTACTACTTGTTGGCCTGCTAGCTTGGCTGCTGCGGTACGTAGGCCAATGTTAATGCACTGTTTACATAGGCTCTTCTTTTCCCATCTTTAATTCAGAGGTCGAAACAAATTTTAAATTTTATTTCAATAATATAGTGGTGTAGAATAGTCTATTAAGAACAAATAATGTAACCCGTTATGAAGTTATGAATTTTTAACTAACAAGAGGTCGAGAATTTAGCCTCAAAAGCTTATCTTATTTCTGTTAGTTACGCACCACTGGTTTAGTTGTGTGGCCCCAAAATGGTGGAATGAGGGCGTCCACTGGTCATGTGACCTGAACCGCTCATGTCGCAACTCTCTCTATATAGGAACTCTAGTAGTTAGCGAAACTGCTAACACCAAAAAACGTCAGCATACTGGTTTTACTTAAAGAAAATTCTTCTATAGTTAATTTAGAAAACCGACGAAATTTTATTATTATTATTATTATTATTATTATTATTATTTTTGTTATTAATATTATTATTATTATTATTATTATTATTATTATTATTATTATTATTATTATTATTATTATCAGTTTGTAACAATCAAATATCTGTCGATAGGGAAATCAAGGACATTCCTCCAATGGAAAAAGTAAAGGAGAACTTACACAAATCTCTAAACAAACATATCAACACAAAGGAACTGACCCGTATCCGGTAAGTAATTTTAAGTCTTCATGCTAGTTAAACTGTAGAAGAAATGTTTCACAAAGAATGTAACTGATAATCGTACTATTTTCATAAGGCTAAATTTTAGATTAATTCCATATTTTCTGACTCCAATATGTGCAATATTTATGTATTTTGAAATGTTTCAGGAATAATCTTATTACGAGTGGTCTAACATTTGAACGGACAGTAACTACAAAGGTCGAAGATGAAAATGAAAAAGATTCAGAAATACGTAGGCAAAAGTTTTTAAGCAAGTTAAAAGCTCCATACGAGTCATGCGCAGTAGTAGGTAACGGTGGTGTTTTGGAAGAAAGTTACTGCGGAGCAGAGATCGATGCACACGACTTTGTAATGCGGTCAAATATGGCACCTATAGTTGGTTTCGAAGAAGATGTCGGAAAGAAAGTTAATTTCATGACGTTGAATGGTGAAGGCACAAAGGTTCTCATAAAATGCGTGAAAACTTTCAACAATACTTGTAAACGAGTTTATCAAAGTATGAAAACCATCGATGAATCAATTATTTGGTTCTCAAAGTATGGGACTTTGGCTTTAAAATTCATGAACCTAATTAATCAGCATTTAAATTCAACAGTGACACACCCGTCAGAGCCACTAAGTGAAGAATTAATGAAGTAAGTGATAATGAGTTTTATTACTCCATTTTTTTTTATCTTGTTGGCAGTATTATCATGGAGGCATTAATCTCAAGAATACTGCCATAGTATATGTATATTTATTATTATCTATTTGTGTCCATCAGAAATAAGTTATTGACATTCGATTGTTTTCAAACCGAAATCATAATTGAGATAAAACAACACCTTTGATTATAATAACTAAAATTGCAATTGAGTGGGGTTTTTTTTTAATACCTTCCATTGTTGGAGTGAGGACTTGCCCAACGAGAAGCCGAATTCTCACTATTTAACAAAATATATTTTTTTAATTATTCCAGATTTTGGGACATCACCGAGCACCCGTCATCCGGACTGTTTCTCTATTCTATTGCGGTGCCTATATGCAAGACCATATCGCTGTACGGTTTCTATCCGTACAGCAAGTTGCCTAGCGGGAAGCGTATGAAGTACCATTATTACGAAAATTTTTATATTGAAGATTTCGTTATGGGGCATGACCTTCCTAAGGAGTTCAGGTTGTTGATGAAGCTTAACCGAGCCGGTGCTTTGCGACTAAGGGCAAAACCTTGTTTTTGAATAAAATAGTGTAACGTATAGGGACACGGTGCTATATGAGAAGTCTACGGGATCGAACGATGTTCTTTATTTAAATGTGTTTACATTTTAGAATTGATGTTGTTTCAGTGTTTGTAAAACCGGGTACACGTTCCGTCGGTTGATGGTCGCACGCGAACAATCGTATTTCTCGACGATCCGCTCTGGCTGCAACTGACAACCAGCAGGCGGCGTCGCGTCGTCAAAATCCCGCACATAGTTCGGATATGGATTCGTCGATTTAGAATCGGCCAACGAACTGTGCGCTTGGCTTGTAAGATTCGTATTCTAGGACCCTGTGTTTGACCGGCTACACACTAACCCCAGCTATACTATTCCGTGCCATACCTTAGCTTGAGACGAGTTTAGGCCCTATAAAATTCAAAATAAAATCTTTCAAGCGTATAGATAATCATTGTAGACCAATACATCAACTTCATTATTGTAAATTTACAACTAGGAAAATTAAAACTAGAATTATAGTTATTATAAACGACCCTATTTTGTATGAAATGTGATTCATGGTTTTAGTAATCAATGAAATATATATTGCTTAATATGAATACAATGTTAAAACATCATAGAATTTTACAGCAGCAATACCAATATTGTGTTGATTAATCTTGGTGCTCTCATGGTATTATAAGAATAATTTAATTACTAAGTCCTGTCACCTGTGTACAATATTTTAATTGCTGATTACGTAATACTATAAATCTGGACATAATTTGTGTCGCATTGTGTTATGCAATAAATTGTATTGTGATATTTGTTTCAAATTATATTTTTATATTGTTCATTTTAACCGCATCATTATTATTTTATTTATTATTGTTATTAAAGTGTTTTATAAAAATTGAATATTTCAATTTAATAAAAAAAATTATGAAAACAGGTCATATTACGAGAATGTGTTTGATTTACGTTCCGAAAGATATGTTTGACGTTTTTAATTCAATTCATTGTATTCAGTCTATCATAATGAATATAACACAGATGTATTTTGAAGCAAAGCGATTAAATGAGAACATAAAATTATAGATAAAAACATACTTTTAAAATTTTCCAAACAGTACAGTAAAAAGTATTAAGATATATTAGTAAAACATTGTTATGTTAAGATACTAAGAGCATGTAATTCATTAAAATAATATAAAATTATTGCATTTATGTTCATGATTTTCGTCTATATTAATGTATAGTTGAGCTAGGTCACAATACTTTTATTTTGGCATCTACTTGATTCCGTACTTAATTCTGTGTCATCATCACCTTTGCGACCCATTAGCCCTCTCACATTTCGAACCTTTCAGACGAAACCCATGCCGACGTGCTCACTGCAATATTGCGGTATTGCAGCTCTGTCTGACACCAAAGACATTGGTGTGCCGGCTAAAACTTTATCTTTGCAAAACAATAGATATCAATGAGACGTAACAAAAGGATAAAAAAATCAAGTGAATTTGTTTTACTTTAATATGTCTGTCAATTCGGACAAACTACGCAGAACATAGGAAATGCGCATGTTGATTTTCACAATATTAATTTATTTTAATATTTTTTTATTGGAATTATAGAGTCATTTTCGTACAAACCCCATACAAGCCAATCCATTCTTTTGTGAGAATTCATGGTATGAGTTCAATACACAACCAAATACTAAAAGCAAAAACGTTTTAATTTTTTGTTATTAGAGACATTCCTCAACCTTACGAATACGATTACGTCATTATCATTATCGTCATTCGTGCCTAAAACATTCTTGACAATAATGCTGTAGGAGCTGAATATGATCCTTGATTCATGCAAAAGGCATGGTATCGCCTACGTTGTGACAGATATGCTGCTGTAGGGAAAGAGTTGCCTGAAAATTTGATGACGTAACCGTATTCGTCATCGTTTTCGTAAACTCGCGAAACTCCCTAATATTAATAAGTAATTCCCAAATCTTTGTCAATGGTGATGTAAACACAGATGGATATGAATCAATTTGTCAATAAACTGTATCACAAGTAACGTCTTTTTAAAAATCGTGTCATGCAGCTAGTCAATTAAAAGTGTTAATTGTTATTATTTATTTATTTATTATTGTTGTTATTGTTATTTCTATTATCATCATCACCAGCATCTCTCCACCATCATCTTCATTATTATTAAAACGAACTTTAATGATGTACAGAATATATATCATGCAGGACTACTAGAGGATTTTATGAAGACACTGAAAATGAGAATTGGATCTACCTCTTTGTAGGAAAATGGGATAATCACCCTCGTAGCTGTGGATTGGCTCGTATCCATGTAAGAAAAACACACAATCATATCTTATACCGAAAGGTCCACTGATTAATCTCAGATAAGAAAGTATAATACATACTCCAAGTATTGAAATACACGCCATCGTGTTGGGATTCAATATTTCGACATTAATTATGTCATCATCAGGAAT